TTCTCCTTCTCTCTCTCTCTCTCTCTTCGTTCCGTTTTACTACTTGTTTATATTTTGCTTCGAATGCCTTTTAGTCTAGGGTTAGAATAATTCCAAACTCCATCACACGCCTTTTGCTTTATCAAAACTCGAAACTAAAAGTTGAACTTTAAAGATGTTTAAATTTGAAAGTTGCTAAGAATCGAGGTTTAAAAGGTTTAGCTTTAACAAAGTCTTAAAACAATTCGCAAGTTCGTTTAGATTTAAAAGCTTCGACCTTAAGTGAAGATTTGCAAGATAAATAATATGTCAAAAACTTGTAATACTTGTCTGGATAAAAATAAAGTTAAGCTTCGTAAAGATTCACAATTGCAAGATAAACTAATTGTTTCAAACTTGATAATTTGCCTAAGTAAATTTCTAATAAGTTCAATAACAAAAGATTGCCAAAGTTAATATAAAATAGTCAAATATGTTAATCGCCGGAAAACCGTATTTAACGGAGTGTTTTAGGTGCCTAACACCTTCCTAAGATACTAATAAGAATCCCGAACCCTTAAAATGTTTCAAAACAATTTTTTCTGTTTAAGTTGTTTAGAAACGAAGTTTTCTTGATTTTTCTTAAAAATTAAGTGGTGATTCCCTAAAGTCTAAAAACAAACTCTTTTCGAAAATCAACCCTTTTCCGATAAAACAGAAATGGCAACTCCGCTGGGGAGTTTGGAGGATTCTAACCTTAAGATTAACGTATTTGGTTATTTGTGATTAACTGTTTAAAATGTTTAAATTATTTAGATTTTTTAAACTGTTGCATACATAGCATACATACTTCCGTCAAACGACACTTTTTTACATTTCTACTAAAGGACGATTATGCGGGTTCGCAGTCGTTTGTTAACCAAAAATCTTCTCGGGGCACCCTGACGAGTGTAGTTGATTACTTGATAGTCAACGATCGTTAATTGTCCCAGCCCAAGTAGTCCGCTTGGGTTACCCATTCTACTTTAAATACAACCCACTCTTAGTCAAACTAGGATAGAGCGAAGC